TGATATTACAGCTGCCTGGTCGTTATGAATAGGCAGCAGCAGAGGGTCGGGTTTGGTTGCGGTTTTAGGATTCTGGGCAAAAAAAGCATTCCGGATAAATCTAACAAGACGCGGGCATACTCCTCTAGCAAAGGCAGCGAAATAGATGACCCTGATGAGACCTGGAATACAAAAACAGAGTTTATCGGTTCAAAAAATTCCTCGAGTTGGTATACGGAGCTTGTCGTTTCCCATTAAAGAAACTATTAAACAAATATTATCGCTACCAGCAAAACATGCTGCCTTTAGAAAATAAACTGGTATAATTTTTTTCCTACTTCGTCGCCATGAACGTTTTTTTCTCGGACTTACCGCAGATAACTGATACAGGATTTCCTTCTTCATCTGTGTTTACTGGTTCTAATTAATGACGGTGTCTAATGACTACGCTCGTTGAGAAGTAGCTTTTCCGATAATAGATCCGTTCAGCTATTACGAATTCGGCGTATTGGGTTTATGTTGGACCATGGAATTTAGAAATGTTTTGCCTGAAAATACCGCCCCTTTGAAAATAAAAGCGTTGTTTTACCTACCCAAGGGGTGGTGAAGAATTTACCAACATAAATGGAAAGTTATCACAATTTCCAGGTACCTTTATAAACAAAAGACCCCTATAAATTCAAAATAGTGGAGAGTTTGGGAGCGGGTAGGGGGTAGAGATAAAACTCACCTCCTTATTCCCAGACGGTTCCTCAGCAATGCAGACCAGTATTTCTGTCAAGGCGATAAGTAAGAAGGCCAGTGACCTACAGTCCTCACTAGAGAGACGGAAAAGAAGGGGGGGGGGGTGGAGATAATTGTTGAAAAGGAAACGGGTCAGTGAACAAATAAAAAATAAACGGAAAGATGACCTTCTAGCAAAGTTTCATTCACTAATGACTTCTTGAAGGACGAAGGGGGGATGATCAAAGTGTGGGCGATATAGAAGCTGTTTAGGAAAAAAAATGACCTCGGGTGGAGATATCGAGATAGCCATCTAACTGTGAAGTCTGATTTTGTTCTATAGGCCGTCCACTCAGACAAATTGGCAGCAGACTCATCAAATAAGGTCCGTGAGTAATTCATGTCGTGCAAATAGTCGGTCTCGTGCTTCATTTGTCCGAAAAGACGAACACGTTTGAACTCGCACCCACTTTCCATATAGACATAAAAAGGGTTACAGATTGAGGAGCGGTAGACGCTCTGAAATGTAGATATCCAGCGTACTTATAATTGGTCGTTTTAACTGTGTTAGGCTGGAGGAAGGCTCACACAAATGAATGAAAGTAAAGCAAAGAGTCGACAGTGATAGGGAGCAAAGACTTGGAAACCATGAAGTCCCTATCACCCGAAAAAAGTCTCGCCAATTCAGGGAACTTTTTCCTTGGATATTCTAGAAATTGCTTATTTGCGAAAGGGCGCAAAACATGTAGTTCGGAGGCCTTGGTTACGGTAGGCTTGAGTGAAATAATTTAAATGAGAAATAAGAGAAGGAGAAGCACTCACGCAAGCATTTGGGCTTCGATAAAGTCAAGGAAACTGAGCACTAGGCGACTGGCGAAAGCGTCGCGAAGCTGCGCCCTGCGCCCGGCATCCGAAGTCGGCGCAGCATACAGGAAGTGAGTGAGAAAACGCATAATGCCCAGCCATACGCAGATGCGAGCCCGTTCACCAGTGAAGATGTCCAGGTAGGTACCGCAGACGGAGAAGGAATCAGTAGGCGACTCGAGGAACTTGTTGGCAACTTCGATGAGTCTGTCTGTCACAGCCTTTTGCAGCCGGAAGGCGGGGAGGGGGATAAGTGAAAAAACTACTTGTACACACACATGACAAATTATTCACTTCAAACGGGTGTATGCTGTAAGAATCAATACACAGGCTCTTTTCCCATGAGAAATCGAGGAAACTGGATCGTGATCGGCTCTAAGAAACCCCGATTCCATCTCAAGTCGCTTCAATTTCGATCTGCTACTAGGACATTGGAGAGGGAAGTAGGAGCAAAGTGGATTTAGCGCATAGTTTCCGCGTTATAGGTAATAGGAGTCGCATTAAATGACCAGACAACACAAAAGATCTTGGCTTTCCAAGCTTTCAATTGATGAATGAACTCAATTTTACCATGTGACGTTCTCCT